CACTCAGCGGTGACAGCCAGGTCACGTCGCTTCCTAGAAGCTATTGAGGGAGCGTTTTTCACACAGAGGGTCCGAGAGGCGATGAGGGGGGAAACATCCTTGACTTGGTCTTGACCAATAGGGAGGAGCTGATAGATGAAGTACAGATTAGGGGAGCTCTGGATGCGAGTGATCACTCCATCCTTTGCTTTGAGATCAGGGGACTGTGGACGTGCAGCAGGTCGAGCACTAGAAGCTGGGACTTCAAGAGGGCCAACTTTGGCCAACTGAAGGCCAGACTGCGGAAAGTCTCCTGGGATAGGTTACGGGAAGATAAGCGAGTTGAGGAGGGGTGGATAGCACTCAAAAGGGAGGTTCTGGAGGCGCAAGCCTTGACGATACCTCTAGTCAGTAAGGTGGGGAGGCGGAGGAGAGCACCGCCATGGATGCGAAAGGAGGTGGTTAGAGGGATTAGACGAAAGAGGAACCTCCATAGGAAATGGGTACTGGGGGAAATAGACAAAAGGGTATACCGGGAGGAGGAGGCCCGTTGCAGAAGGATTCTTCGCAAGGCTAAGGCTGATTACGAGCTGAGACTTGCCAAGAATATCAATAGCAATAAAAAGGGCTTCTTTCAGCATGTAAATAGGAAGAGGAACGGGAGACAAGTGGTGGGACCACTAAATAAGGAGGAAGGAGATCCAGTGACTGATATGAGGGAACAGGCACAGATGCTAAATGACTATTTTGCCTCTGTGTTCTCCCCAAAGCAGAACGGGGGATATCCGCATAGGAGATTAGATGAGGCTGGGGACTTAGGGGCTCCTCAGGGCATTGGACATTACAAAGGTGCCAGGCCCTGATGGGTTACACCCGAGAGTACTTAGAGAGTTGGCAGGGGTTCTCTCACGCCCGCTGGCCTCCATCTTTTTTATTTTATTTATTTATTTTATTTATTAAAACATTTTTATGCCGCCCCATTCGCCGAAGCCTCGGGGCGGCTTACAACAAAAAATTAAAATAACATTTTAAAATATATACAATAAAATACAAATATATAATATAAAACATACACTATAAAACAAGCCGCCCTGGCCAAATAAAATTCAATAATATTAACATTTAAAATACTGCTTAAATAAAAAGGTCTTCGCCTGGCGCCGAAAAACAAATAACGACGGCGCCAGGCGGACCTCTCTGGGGAGCGCATTCCATAACTTAGGCCTTAGCTTTGAGGCCTCGTGAAGAACTGGTGAAGTTCCAGAGGACTGGAGGGTGGCGTCAGTGGTCCCAATTGTCAAAAACGGTAGTAGAAGGGACATGGGGAATTATAGACCTGTTAGCCTTACGTCCATTGTAGGAAAAACAATGGAAAGGTGCATAATAGAGAGAGATCTAGTGATGCTAGATAGGGAAGGGAGGCTGACAGCCACACAACACGGCTTCCGCAAAAACAGGTCCTGCCAGACAAACCTTGTGGAATTCTATGACAAGGTTTCGAGATGGCTAGATGGAGGGGATGCAGTGGATGTGGTATACCTGGATTTCAGCAAGGCCTTTGACAAAGTGCCCCATGATATCCTGGTGGAGAAACTGAGGAGTTTTGGGATACACCAAAGCACTGTCCGGTGAATTAGGGCATGGTTGACTGACCGAAAGCAGAAGGTAACCATTAGTGGGGAATCATCGGGATGGCGGCCAGTGACAAGCGGGGTCCCCCAGGGCCCTATCCTGGGGCCGATCCTGTTTAATCTTTTCATTAATGACACGGAAGAAGGGATGAACAGTCTGCTGATCAAATTCACAGACGACATTAAAACTGGAGCAGTGGCCACAACTGAGGAGCAGGTACTCCAGATCCAAAAGGATCTGGACAGACTATGGAAGTGGGCAGGAGACAACAGGATGGCGTTCAATGTGGATAAGTGCAAGGTCTTGCACTTGGGGCATAGGAATGGGTGTCATAAGTACAGGTTAAGGGACAAGTGGCTGGAGAGCAGCACTTTTGAAAGGGACCTCGGGGTACTGGTTGACTGCAGGCTAAACATGAGTCAGCAGTGTGATGCGGTGGTCAAGAGGGTGAACGCCACCCTTGGTTGCATAGCCAGAAGTGTGGCTTCTAGATCAAGAGAGGTATTACTACCACTCTACACGACTCTAGTGCGCCCGCAACTGGAGTATTGTGTTCAGTTTTGGGTCCCTCATTACAGAAAGGATATAGCCAGGTTGGAGTCAGTGCAGCGTAGGTTGGTGGCCGGTTTGCAGGGGATGGGGTGTGAGGCGAGACTGAGGGAACTGGGTCTCTTCAGCCTGGAGAAGAGGAGACTCCGAGGGGATATGTTGGTGACATACAGGTATGTGAGGGGATGTGGGGTAGAGATCTGTTCTCCCCTGCAGAGGAGGACAGAACCCGCTCCAACGGAGCAAAGCTCAAGGAGCCAAGGTTCCGTTTGGATGCCAGGAAGCGCTTCCTGGCAGTCAGGACCCCAAGGGTGTGGAATGGGCTTCCACGAGAGATCGTTGAGGCCCCATCGGTGCGGGTGTTCAAGGATAGGCTGGACGTCCACATGGTGGGCATGTCGTGAGCGGAGCTGGCTGGTGCCGGAGGTCAGACTAGATGGCCCGGGAGGCCCCTTCTGACTTGCTCTGTTTTCTATGTTTCTATATTATGTTTTTGAACTAGGCAATAAATCTTAGTATAAAAACCAATTTGAAGGTTGCAATTAATTGAGAATTAACAATCACAATCAAATCACAATCACTTGACTCTTCCTCTTTTGTAAATAGATCATGTGATCAGAATCAGAGTTCTTTGGTTTATTGATTCCTATGGAAACAGTGACCCAGTTCACCTGTAACAGGGACAAAACATGGATTAATGTACTAGATCATAACCTATTATTTGCTGCTGTTATGTGCAGACCGGGCCTTAGTGACATATTTATTTATTTTATTTATTTATTTTTGGATTTATATCCTGCTTTTTTCCTACAAAGGGCTCAAGGCAGCTTACATCATTCTCCTCCTCCTCCTCCATCTTATCCCCACAACAATCACCCTGTGAGGTAGGTTGGGCTGAGAGTCTGTGACTGGCCCAAAGTCACCCAGTTGGCTCCATGGCCGAGCAGGGACTAGAACCCGGATTGCCTGAGTCCCAGTCCCATGCTCTTAACCACTACACCACACTGGCTCTCATATTAATGTTTCAAGATATTCAGCCACACCTCATAGCAGATATTTTAAAATTAGTCAGGGAAACTTGTTACACTTTGATTATGGAATTACTTTACATACATACCCAAGATTGCTAGTCTTGACCACTAAAGCCCTAAATGGTGACCTGAAGAAACTTCTCCATTAACTTTGTTCCTGTACATCAACATCATCCAAGCAGGCTCTGTTATAGATACCCATAAGAGGCTTCTGGAATGAAAACCAAGTAAGAACTTTATTTAAAATGATACAACCCCTGTGGATAGCCATACCCACAGAATCCTGTCCATCCAGTTCCTTGCACTTTTTTATGATGGACATCTTTTGGAGGACTTTCTGAATGCCTAAACTGAAACAACAGGATCTGAAATGCTGAAAAGTCTGGGTTTTAGAGTTGGGTAGCTAATTTTGTTTCTCTTTTTTTTCCTTGTGTTTTGAATGACTGTGTAATTTGATTTGGTGGAATTTGTTGTGCATTCAGTTGGTAGGTAATTTTGAGGGCTTTGCCAGAGACTGGTTCTTAATTCAGGGACAAACAGGATCTCCACACAGGAACATCATGTAGCTCAGGATGATGGACTGTAAGAATTTCCACTTTTTTACATTGGTTCCCGAACTCTTCTTCCAAGAGTTTTTACCCTACAGTCACCATATAACTTAGGTCTCATGGCTAGGGAAGAATTTAAACTCAACTCAGATGAGGGAAGCCTACCCATGTTGGTTCTCACACAACCCCAAGACAAGGGAATTATACCATCTTGTTTGAAAAGAGTCATCATCATTATCCTAGGAAGATACTCTAGGAAGAACAGATAGTGTTTCAGGAACGAGACTATATTTTTTTCTCTGAGTTGTGTGAAAAGATGAAGTCAGGAGGGTGGAGTTCTTGTCAAAAGGGAAGTTTACCTGTTTAACCAAGTCAGCCACATGGAAGAGAGCCTAGTGCATATATATAACTTTGTAGTGATTGTCTGGGCAAAAGTTCACAAACTATCATAATCATAGCCGAAATGTTGAGGAAGAAATTGTGTGCATAGTACAGTATAAAATTATTGCCAGGGTGAATTGTTTTTCTGATTCTTCTGAGAAGATGCCAATATTGATTTCATTGGCAATTAACAGAGAGAGAGCCAGTGTGGTGTAGTGGTTAAGAGCATGGGACTGGGACTCAGGCAATCCGGGTTCTAGTCCCCGCTCGGCCATGGAGCCAACTGGGTGACTTTGGGCCAGTCACAGACTCTCAGCCCAACCTACCTCACAGGGTTGTTGTTGTGGGGATAAGATGGAGGAGGAGAATGATGTAAGCTGCCTTGAGCCCTTTGTAGGAAAAAGGCAGGATATAAATTAAAAAAAAACAAACTATGACTGTTTTTTTCCCCAGTATTGTTGTTATACATATATCGTTCATGGCTAAAATGGCCCAGCTTCCATAGATCTTGTCACAATATTCAATGTACGACTAGACTGTGAATTATGTGGGGCTACTAATGAATCAGTCACAGAATCAGAGTTTATTTTTGCATGTATAGTTTGACATCTCAATCTCTGTGTCTTGTACTAAATTAAAAAGTATGGTCATTAATTCATGAGATTGATATATACTCTTGTCAGGGGCTTATCTTTTCACTTTTCTACTTAGCACAGCATCATGTACACTAATGGATGTATATTTATCATTAAAGATGATGATGATGAGAGTTTAATAAATTGTCAAAATTGAAACTATAAATTAGGTGCATATTTTGAAAAGTTGGCTAACAGATTTAATTCAAATATACATTCCTCTCTGATGCTTTTTTCCCTCCTAGGAGTTTCTTTCAACAGTGTTTATACACAGATTTGGAGAGTCCTTTTACACTTGGCTGCTGACCCATACCCAGATGTTTCAGACTTGGCTATGAAAGTGCTCAACAGTATTGCTTACAAGGTAATCTCTGTATGCTACAGTGTTCTAAAGCTGTATAAACTATGAATAGATAGATCTTCAATGTTCCCTTTTTGACAGCTTTCTGGAATAATTTTCCTAGACAATGAGTGCTCATGGTACATTCTAGAATAAGAAACCCTTGCATAATTCATTTATTTAGTAGTTTCTTTGTGTTTATAGTTTACCTTGGTGTAATGACTATGTTCCGTGCAATAGTAGTTGCACTGAAAATAATGAGTTATCTTTTTCCCCAAAGAGCTTGAAATCCAAATCAGTTATAGGACATGTGGGAAAACTGGAAAAGCAGAATTTTAAAATTTTTGTTTTATATAATTAGGCTGGAAGTGTCCTAAGACAGTTTTTATACTCCTTGTTCTGATTTCCTGTGTAGCACCCCCCTTTTCCCAAACACAGTATGCAGCAATTCAGCTTAAACATTAAAATATTCCCCAATGGTTGTACAATCTCATCTGCACCTCTATCCTCCGAGGACAGAAAGGAAAAGAAGACTAGCTGGGGAATATTAGTGACCTTCTAGCTATCTGGTCAAGTATAATATATTAGAAGTAGCTGGTCAGGTAAAAGAAAGGCATTATCTGAGGAGTTCGGCTTGTGCAGCATCAGTAACCTGATACATGGAGCTTTTCTTGGATGTTTAGCTAGTAAATTTGATCTTATACATTTTTGGTTATTTTCTTTGCAAACTCGTTTAGATTATGCAAGTAAGAGTAAGACTGGATTGCAGATTGAAGCCAGAACAGCTGCCCAGTGCAGGTGATCTAGTACATGTGAGTCAGCATGCAGATGCCCATCTCACTTCTCTTGTATGGATTGAAAGCACCACCATTATTGCTGTCCTTCATTGTGCAAAGATTATATGTGTTTAACTCCAGAGGCTGCCATCACTGCTCTTGTAGAAATACTAGCTCAATGAGTTTTGACAATTGGGCTGTGATTATAAGCTATTTGTGATAACAAATCTTCTACCACAAGCCAAGTACTATATAAGCACTTAGATATATTTGCTCATAAAAATACTTCCTTCCCCACCAGATTGCAGCTACAGGCCATTTGGACATTGTCTTTTTTATGTTCTTGGCTCAGACCTTTCTGGTTGCTCAAACAAATTAACAGCATGAGCCAGTAGAATGTGAGATGTCTTGCTGATTATTCATTCCAGCATTGTGGCTCATGAAGTTAAGACTGAATCTGCCATAAGATATGACACTATTTTAATGCAGTGGGAGGTGACCTGTTTAAACTCATTTTTCCCTTAAGATCTGAGTGTTCTTTTCATATATTTATTTACTGGAGCCCAGAGCCCACTACTTAGTCATTTCAGCTGATTGGCTAAATATCTTTGGGCTGTTTGTGTTAACCGTTGAGCGTGAAAAGTTGTAATGATTCATTTTTTGATGAATGTAAACACGCAAGAGTGAAAAATCCTGATTCCTGATTCTGAAATGTATGATGACTAGGGAGATTTATATTTTGAACCTCCTAGTCACATCACAGTTAGGCTTGTGGTAATTTAGATAAAATGATGGATGAACAAATATGGATGTGCCTATACAGTACCCACAACTCTTGTTACATACAGCATGGGTAAACCCATTCCATATATGGGTTTCTTGCAACAGCGTGATTTCGTAAGCATCAAAGTGTAACACTTTCTCATGGTCATTTTCTAGAGCCCTACTCTTTCCAAGAAATGTTCTTTGGTGGAACCACTGGCTATTGGAGTAAAAAGTGGTTTGCTTTTATCTGCAACACAGCCAAATTGTACAATGGGCAGAATCTACATTAGGCCATGCAGATTCTGTCCTCTAGAAGAAGGCTTAGCTGGTATATATTGAGAAGTACCAATCAGTCGCCTCATTCCCTTTTTTGCCATAGGTCTTTCTCTGGATATACAGTAGCTGCTAAACAACTGATAAAGGAGTCAGATCAGATACTGGGTATGGTAGGGCAAATAATTATTGAAGTAATAATAATAAGTTATCTTAGAAGTAAGGTCTTCCAGTAAGTGGCAGTAGATACTGTTCAAGATTAGAATGTGTTCTTGTAACTGATGTTCAAGGGGAACTCAGTGCAGTAAGCAGTGAATAATAATGTTTTTGTTTCTGTACTAGTGATACTATCTATCTTTTCTGACAAGGTTATCCTTCCACTTTGTCTTGAACCCAGTTCCCCAACCCTTTTACAAAGGATAGAAATGAAAGCACTTAGGTGGTGCCAGATTTATATACTCAGCGTGCTACAAGTTTCTGAAGCAGGAGGAAGGAATTGCATGATATGTGTTAATGGCTCCAGAGAAGAAGCCAGTACTTCCCTTGTGTCCATTTGCTGTAATTATGGATGGCTAGTGTGCCCTTTTAATGACATTACCAGGTTAATAATTGCTTTATTGTGTCAATGGTGACCATAATACTCATTTACATTTATATTTTTCATATGTATAACTGTGTGTTTGTGGAGACCATTTTCTCAGCTAATTTGTCAATCTTTTCTGCTCATCTTGTGGTTATGTTACTTGGAAAGATGCTTAAGAATTATGTCAGTGCTCAGAGCAAGAAAGAGGCCATGTTCCATGAGAGCCAAGGGAATTTGGGACAACTCAAATCCAGATGGACTTAAAATGAGTAAATCTGTTAAAGGAAATGTGTATAACTGCAGAAACTAGGAACTGGCAAATAGTAATAGAACAGAAAAGGTACTCCGTGGCCAAGGATTTCAGCAGCTTCCAATTTTTCACCTGCCACTCACCCTTTGTGTCTTTTACACTCTGAGCTTTTACAGCATCATGTTGGATAAATAAATTGTAGCATTTCATGTTTGGCATTCTTGTTCCAATAGTCTTTTAACCTGGTGGTAATTGGTGCTTTCTGCCCACATAAGAATTCCTGGACTGCATCCCAGAAAACGCTATGCACTTTCTAGGCTCCATGAAAAAAAATAACAGATAATGGCTACACTTTTTGGCAGGGTATTGTTTGGCAGAATGTGAAATACAGTAAAAACATAAGCATTTTTTACATAATTGATGGTTAGCATGCATTAAAACTGAATGTTGCTATGAGCTTTTGTTATTTGTCCCATGAAATAGTGTTGAAATAACACTGAGTGGAATTCTCATTTAGTTTATGATGGTTGCTGACATCACTGAGCAGGCAAGGTATCTGAGCCTGCAATGTTTTAGCAAAACTTCAGTTAGGCTTAATTCAGATGTTTGTCATATGTTTACCTCAGAAGTATGAGTGGATCATGCTTCTGGTTCCAAACTTCTGAAGTAATGTTGGAAGCGGATCTTGTGGCTCTCTTATGTGAATGAGAACCAAAAGTTCCTCATGTAAATGTTACATTAGAAGATCAATGCCTGTATCCCAACCCCAGCTGAATGTCTGATTAAGCTCTAAGTTTTCTGTTGAATCTCAAGAGTGATCAGAGTTTTCATTCTGAACACTGTCATTACTATGTGCTACTAGCTCAGGCCGAGTCTATGAATGGAGGCTCCTTTCCCCTCACTCCTCTCAGCTTCCAACACACCAATTTGTAAACAACTGGTAAAAGTAAAAGGAAAAAGTTTAAACCCATGAAAATGGAAAACTAAGTCCAAGAAATCCAAATTTAAATCTTGAAGCTTTTCATTACAGTTACAGAAGGTAAAACCATCTTGTGGATACTCTAATATATCACGTCTCATCATGTTCTGGAAAAGCTGTGAAGAACATACAAGTAAGCTATGTATGCTTATACATAGCTTATTCAGTAAGCTATGATTACAATAAATATTCTGGTTCAAGAAACTGCTATTGGAGAATTTCTTTCTGGGGCTTCTCATTGCAGTGACAACTGCAAGTTGGAATATTCAAGCCATGGTGGGAACACACCATAATTTATCATTACACATGAACCTGGTGACCGTGCATGACTGGGGTAGTTGAAAAGCTATCCAGAGCCATGGGCTGTTTTGCACTGTGTGTGACTTTTTAACCATCCTAGCAACCCAACCTCATCCAGTTTGCACCCAGCAACAAGCTATGGTGCACCCCTCCACACACAATTATTTAAACTAGCATTCATCACCACAACAAAGAGTCCCATGAGAAAATGGATTTATTTATTATATTTATATGCCACCAAGTAGTCTAAGGGCCTCTCTAGGTGGAGTAGAACAATCACAAGACCAAAATGCAGCAATTTTAAAATTACAATATACTAAAATTGATAAAATCACTAAAATCAATTGATTAAAATATAAATAACAATAATTATAATTCAACAATGATCGTTATAAATCTTGTCCAGGTTAGAAGACAGCCATTAATAATCTATTAACCCCCTTAATAAAATCATCTTAAATTTAATTGTTAAAATGGGTGGGAAAAAAACATGCTTTTGCCTGGCACCAAAATGAAAGCAGAGATGGTGCTAGGCAAGATTCTCTGGGAAGTCTGTTCCACAGGTGGGTGGCAGCCACTGACATGGCCCTTTTTCTATTTGCCATCCCTTTTAGACAGGCCTCTTATCCAGATCCTAATGGACAGGTGGGTACATTCACCCATGATGATGTCCTGGTATGAGAAAACTAGCTAATTGACAAGGTCAGGCACCATGGTAAAAAATAAGAACTTTTCATCACAGTGTCAAAATGATCATGTGAGTTTGTCCTGCTAGTCTTTTTATTTGGAAGCTAAAGTGATATCATATGGACATATGTTCAAAATCAGAATCTGACTTTCCATGGGCACCAACCCAGCAGGAATCAACTCAGTAGCATAGCACCTTCAGCAGTCAGCAAAACTGAACTATCTGCAATTCCAACCTACATCCTGGTGTGCTAGCCAGATTATGCCCATTTTCCTTGGTTAATTAAGCTGGCGACCATCCTTGTTTTTCATTTTTTTTTAAAGTTGCTAAAAGTAACTGTAAGGAGTACTGCAAACTACCATGAGATGTCTGGATTTTTCTCCCTTTGCTACCTATTTATAGCTCAAAAGCAGGCAGAGATGTTTTCTTCCAGACTGCAAATTTGACATCCAAATGTGTAGCAAGGGGGCTAACAGGACCCTGAGCTCTTAGAAAGGATATGCTTTGCTTCAGAAACTTGTACAACCACTTTACAATTGTGTTAGCTCAAGCAAGCTGACCATCTTCACTGGTTTCAGAGGTATGATATTGTGCTTAACACCAAAAGAGATAGATACTATTGTTTAGCCTTGATTGCTTTCTCTTTAACAAAAGACTTGGGCTTGAATCCAGAGTTCCCATAGCTCTGCACAAGCAGAAGGAATTTCTGTTCAAGCAGTGTGGAATGGCTTTGCTGTTTTCCTGCTTTTCAGTTCTGTAAAAACCACTCTGAAGGGACTCCAAGCCCTCTAAAGACAATTTTGGGAAAGTAGGAGAGTGATAGGTTCATCTCAGCATTCACAGAATTGCCTTCCACTCATGAAGTGGGATGTTTTGATTCAAGCCAGTAACTGAAGTGAGCAACTTTTAAAAACTTTTTAAACCATGCTGCTCTTTTGCTTTTTGTGGTACAAGTGAAAGAAAGGAACATGACCTGTAATGCATGATAGTGACCGTTAATGAAGCCATTTCCCAGATCGTTTCATCTAAGTGAGTTTTTTTTCTGGATAGTTTAAGACTCAGTTAACCTAATCAGTACACCGCTCTTGGCAGACATTTCTGTGGATGGACCAGCACCAAATCCTACTTACTCTTTGGGGCAGCACATATGATTAAACAGCACATTGGAACTTATTTAAGCCATGGTAGGCTGCACCCTGTGCCAGCATGTGCAGATGGCCATTTTGAATTTTCAAGCTATGACTTTCCATGTTATCCACACTCAAGCAGCAGAGGTTCTAGAAAAGTTAAACAGCTCTTGCCTAACCCATGGTGTGCTTTAGGGTTATGCAAGGTGTGTTTATCCATTGCACAACCTGGTTTGGACAGCCACAGATATCACTTGAATATTCAGAAACCATCCAGCATGTGCTAACATGACTCAATGACCTACTGTGGCTTAAACAAGCCATGGTGGGCTGCATTGATCATGTAAACCAGGGGTCTTCTCTCCTAGGAAGGATAGGTCTGGTATGAGTACTCTGGGAATAAACCATCCATTTATTATTCAGCCAAAGTAAGTTAAACTGTTGGCTGCTAGAACAAGGTTTTTCTGTAATGTAGGTGTTAGAAGTCAGATTTTGGCAGGGTTGTTAGTAGGGCTTATGTTAAATTTGCAGCCAATTTTCCTGCCATATTGAAAATTAACCCTTTGTTTGTATGGAAGGAGAATAGGAGAACTTTACATCCAACAGATCCAAAGGTGGTGGACTCTCCAAAGGCAGTCCGCCACCAAACACCCCCTTTTGCCATTACCTCCTTTAGAGCATTGATGGGAGAGTGGCATGAACAGTGGTGTTTCTATGCCTGCAGTGCAGAGGCTTGTGAGGGCATTCACAGACCTCCCTCTCTACAGGTGGAGACAGAAATCAGCTAAATCCAGGGGACTGTGGCCTGAATAGCATAATACATGTAATGTCATTGTTTCACAGGCCATTTATGAATTTATGTGTGTGGGAAGAGAAAGCAGGAGAGGCTTGTTCTGTTGTACTTTGCTAGTTCACTAGTTCAGAATTAGCTTAAATTTCTCATAAACATGAAGAACTGAAGAAGAATCTTTTTTGCCAATCCAAAAAGAAAACCTAAAATATTCTAAGTTTTATGATTGAAGTGCATGTCCTTAACAAAAGAGAGTTGACAGACAAATAAGCATGTTTAAAAAATAAACTCTGACTTTGTTGCCAAGCGATTAGAAGAGAAGGACAGCCAGCTTGACCCCCAAATGTAACATATCACAGTGGCTTTACAAGCAGCAGCTTTTCTCAGACTTATAGATGTGACTGGTACTCTATCATTGCAAACTCATAAATCCATCCCCTCAAGAGCATGATGATGTGGATGGGGGCTTCGGTCATCATTGTCTTCTTCTTCTTCTTCTTCTTCTTCTTCTTCTTCTTCTTCTTCTTCTTCAGCAGTGGCACAAATGCAAATGTTTGTTGTTGTTCTATAACCTGATGGGTTGGGAAAGAGAAGAGAGTCACCTCAAAAGACGAAGGGAAGTTAATATGTGCTTTCGAGCACAACTGCAGCAGTTGCCTGTGTGCACCCAGCAACTGTGGGTGTACAGTGCAAATGCAGATACTATTGGAACACCGTCTGCTGTTTATGCTATTTATTCTCTGTTCCCAATTGCCTTGTGGATAGCTCTTTACACCTTTTTCTTTTTTTTTTTATGCACGGCTGCTGGAATTGTAATGGCCATCAGCTCAGCCTGTTTTGGATTTGACAAATGCCTGTAAATGAAGTTTCTACTTCATTAGAAGCCTGCTTGTTCACACTCCCTTGCCCCCTGTACCCATTCCTTCTCCAATTAGCCAAACCTTCAAAAGACAGTGAATGGGTTTTGTCTATGTATCTTTCGAGAATTGCAAGATCTGCTTTGTTGTTTTTGTTGCCTCAAAAGCTACTATTGCACAGCAACCCGATATCTTGAGAAAATTTACAGTGAAGGGGCTCCAGTTATGGGACAGGAGTTAATTTTTCAACCCTGAGCACACTGTGAATCTTCCCTCCTGTGAAACATCAGGTGGGTTAGACTACTATTAAAGTACCTTTCAGACATGATCATTTCTCTGCAGATTTAAATGTTCGTATTTCTGGGAATGTGTTGACCTTGTTCTCAGACATGAAGTTCAGGTGTTGACATTTTTGTTAGATTGGTAATTTAATGAAATTTTCATTTCAGTCATAAAAGTATCCTCAGATTTGCTGCTTCTCCTGTGCCTGATTTTTTTCAAAGTAGCAATGAATATTTTAATGTATTATAGGGAGCATAATGGCATATTAGTTGGAAACCTCTTATTAGCAGGCATTAGAAGAAACCTTCTGTAGTAGGCATATAAGTTGTGATGCCACAGTTGTGTAGAAGACTGCTGTACCCCTTGGATAATCTCTATCCCCCCAACTTTATTCTCACTTGTAAAAACAATTTTTTTGTCGATGGTAGACACAGATTGCCATCTGTCCTCTCTCAGTTGTCATATCTTTTGTTTCCTAGGCAACTGTCAATGCCCGCCCCCAGCGTATCCTTGATACTTCCTCCCTCACTCAGTCTGCCCCAGCCAGTCCCACCAACAAGGGCATGCACATACATCAAGTGGGGTAAGTTCTGCCTAAGGGCCCATTCATGTGTGTGCAGTGTGCATGTAGACGGTGGGTGGCCAGTTTTAAAGTCTGCTCTGTGGAGTGATAAACTAGGAGTTATTTCACATGAAGGGCGATATAAAACTGACCAAATGCAATGAAGTCTCTTGGAAAAGCGTCTCTTTGAACTGGCCCTGCCTCATTCCACTTCAGGAATATTTTGATCCCCCTTTAACCAACAAGCACATACTCAGTGTTCTCCACAATTCAGTGTTGGAGCTGTCTGTCTGTCTGTCTATCTATTCATTTATTACAAGCATTTATATCCCGTCTTTCTGCCAAGCGCTCAGGATGGTTTACACAATATAAAATTACAATGGTACCATATTAAATCCTCAAATATTGAAACAATATAAAACAACGCATCATGAACTTAGAAAAGAAAATAGAGGAAAAGAATAGAAAATGTGACTGTGGAGAGAGGAAAAAAAACTTAAAACATCTAAAATCCTTGATTATTAAAATGATGGTTTAATAAAAAGGTCTTTACCTGGGGCCAGAAGGAGTATAACGTCGGCACCAGGCGGACCTCTCTGGGGAGCACATTCCAAAGTCTGGGTGCCACTGCGGAGAAGGCCCTCCTCTGGGTAGACACCCTCCATACTTCCTTCAGAGAGAGTCATAGAGGCTGATTAATCTCTGTGCTAGGAAGTATATTGAACTTATCCTTTAATGTCTGAGAGGTCTTGCCTTTACATGGTTTGTGTACACAGGGAAGGAATTTCATTGTCAGCTTTCCAGCTTTTGCACTGAAGTCATTGAAAACCTACAGTTGAGACAGTACCTGTCACATATTCTTTCTAGCAAATAGACTGACAAGAGTATTGGGAAAAATCTGATAGATCAAGCGGCATTGGGGGCTCACTATCAAGAGAACAAAATTTCTTGGAGTAACCATTCAGTCTGGGGTAGCCCAACTGATTTCAGGTAAAAAGATGTGCTAAAAGCATAAGAGCCTTGCTGGATCATACCAGTAATCCATCTGATGCAGCATTCTGCTCCCACAGTAACAAACCAGCTGCCCATGTGATCTCATGAGCAGAATATGAGTGCAACAGCCCCCTCCCGCCTAACCTGTAACAACTAGTGTACATAGGCAGTGAGCCTGGGTTAAAGGAAACACAATTACACTGGGATCTAAGATACAAGCAGTTCCATTATTTAACATTTCGTTCCCATCCAGCCTGCAATTTCAAGTGCTACCACTTTGGAGAACAACTACTGTCTAAAGTCAGAATGGGAGACATCACGCTGCAGTTCCTCAGGCAGTTAGTACACTGTCTAAAACAGCTTATATTTGTATCCCCGTGCCCACAAATTTTGCAGCTAATGTGTACTCATATTTTATTTCCCATCCCTAGGGGGTCACCACCAACCACCAGCACAAGCAGCTCCAGCTTGACCAATGATGTGACAAAGCAGCCTGTCAACCGGGACATCTCATCTGTAAGACCTGCAAATGTAGGCAACATGGGGGTGCAGTACACTCCCCACTCCCACCAATTTCCTAGGACGAGGAAAATGTTTGACAAAGGCCCAGATCAGGTAAGATCAGCTGTTCCTTGAAGGAAAGGCAGAATATAAATGGTGGTGGTAGTAGTAGTAGTAGTAGTAGTAGTAGTGATATAGTCCATGTGATGCCGGCTTGCTCAGAAACAAGGCATGTGGGTTCTCTCTAAGTGAATCTGCTTTCCTGCTTTCTTCCTGGACAGACAGCTGATGACGCCGATGAGACCGTGGGTCACAAAAATTTCATGTCAGCAGTGATGCAGACTGGATTTTGCGACTGGAGTGCCAAATATTTTGCCCAGCCTGTGATGAAGGTACAGTCTACCTTTCTTCCATAAACTTTCTGAATTACAGAATCATACAAATGGATCACTCCTAAAAGCAAACGACTTGTGTATGTATTGCATGTGTGCATGCAGAGACCTATCGATACGAATGGACATATACCAGTATACAGTTATATACATGCACACATAGATATATAGCTATGTAGATACATGCACATGCAGTGTCTGCCCAGTCTTCATTTATTATCCCCTTACTATTTCTGCAGTATTCTTCTCCTGTTCCAGAGAACAGTATTGATGTATAAGAACAGTTATTGTTTCTTTGTGTTTACTAATAGCCTGGCATGCAGAAAAACAAATTACACAAGCCTTATTCACAAAATGTTTTGTACCTGCACCTCTATTTTGTACTTCCTATCTAATATAGAATCCATCTCATACAACTAGGGTGATCTGCCTTGGTCCTGTTAGATCCCCTCCCAGCCTCAGATTATCAGGTGTAAGGGCATAACATGTGAGGGGTGGCATGGGGAGGGTGTTTGTCTCTGCCTCAAGGTTATTAAGAGTTCTCCCTTTGGAACCCTCTGCATGATCAACTACTGCTGCAAACTGGAGAACTATAGACATGATACTCTGAGGTCACACTTGGCATATAGCTGCTTTGCTGGAAACTGCTGAAGTGGCCCTTGCTTGGTGGTAGCAAAGATACTACCTCCTGGCCACTGGGCTGCAGTCTCCCTTTCCTTGTATGCACCATGGTATGCCACGTCTTTTTGCATTCCACATTCTGCCAGTCAGTTTTCCAGGTACATTAGGTAACAGTTTCTCTATAGTTCAGGTGTGAAACAGATCCAGCATTCCTACCTATGCAGGCAGCTTTGTGTGCTAGAAAGAGGTAATGTGTTTCCTCGAAAATAGGACACTGTCTTTTTTTTTTTTTTTGGCTCACAAAAACACACTAGGTCTTATTTTTGGGGTAGGTCTTATTTTTTTATTTTATTTTTTAATGTGTACAACAATCCACAGTTATTCATGTACAAAAGCACAGTAGCAGTAGCTCATAGTCAAACAACATGCATACCCTAGGACTTGACATACATAATATGTGAGAGGGAAAATCACACAGTTCTTCGGTGATATATGAAAGTTCTGTGAATTTTTTGAATTTGTGTATCTCATCCCCCCTTTGCTCATTCTATAGACATTATGAATGAAGTAGAGTGCCACTGTTGTTGTTTCTTTTATTGGAACACATGAAACATCCCTTGGATTGTGAGCCCTGCGAACATAACAATCAAACAAGAGTGGAGAACAAAGACAAAGTAACTGCTGTTTTTCACCTTACAGAGGCAAACTCCCCACAACTGCTTTCTATTAAAGACGCTGTCAGCAGGCAAGGGCTGCCAATCCTGACTCCTGATAAGTGTGCCTGTTATGATGCAGTTGTCTGCTACAATCTGTGCAAGTGTGAAGAGACCCTCACAATGGAAAGGGCTTGTAGGTGAATGAGAGTCCTTGAAGCAGTAGCTGCCAGACTGTCTAGGCCAGGGCTATAACTAGGACATTTGTCCATACTGCATAACAGTGAAGGTGTTGCCTAACCTTTCTGATGGCCCATCACTAGTGGGGACAGATTTTTAAATGAACACTCATGGAAAAGCCATTTAAGTCATTCAGTATGGTGTCTTTAGACTTCAAAAATGTGAGTTCCACTCCCATGTAGCCATGGATTCCTTGGATATCTACCTTTCAGTCCCTATTTCCATCAGTAAAAATTGGGACAATAGCATCCTGCTTCACAGGAATATAAATGAAAGTTGGATTGTGTGCTAACAAATGCTATGTAAATTATGTATAATAATGACACCAAACTTATCACAATGGTGCAGAGAATGATGGTTTCTGGGCAGGTGGCTGCATATTTGGTGCAAGCAGCTGTGTTTTCTGTATCTTTCCTTGCTAATTTCTACAGAGGTTTGTGTTCAAAGGCAATCTTGTTCCCTCCTGCTCATTGTGCTTCTATTAACCTCCACTGTGAAAATACTGTGCTGAATTCATGATACTGCTATTGTGTCTGTTACCAGAAGAAGGCTGATATTGTCTCTAGCTGTTACTGAATGCAGCATAATCTTCATTATGTAGTTTACACATTAACTCTGTCTCACACACAAGCAAAGAGACATGGGGTGGCTAGAGAAAGTGGGTATGCTGGAGCTAAGATTTGAGCAAAAGAATGCAGCTCATGTGTAAACATCCTTTTGGCTATCTGTTATGGTTTGGTCTTCTGTAAAAAGATACCCTTTTTTGGGCATACAGCAATATTTCTCTAAGCCAGACAGCACTTTAGCTTCCTAGGAGACTTATGATGATTAAGTATTCTCCCGTCTGCTGTCCCAGAAGGACACAAACTATTTAAAAAAATCTCAATGCCAGTCTTTGCCTGCTGTGTAATTAAGCCCCTCTGTTGCAGCAGCCAGGGCTGAATTGTTGCTATCTCACTGTCTTTACAGTTTCTAGTTCTATTAATGTAGGAGCAATATTGGAACATTGTACCTTAAGTGAAAGCTCTTTAATCCAGGATAGAGGTCAGCAGATCACATCCTCCACTAGAATTTAGAGTTGACCCTACTTGATTTAGTGAATCTTGAGCATTTCAATTTGTTACCAGACTGCTTGTCTGAAATCTGAATTGGAAGTTGAGGAATAGCATTCTTTGGTCTGCTTCTAAATCTCAAGGATGTAACAAAGCACCATTCTTACTCAATATTCATGTGTCCTGCACCACAGAAGCTTCTACTAGGACAAAACTAAAGAGAACATGTTGGATGGTTCCATGAATGGGACCAGGCAATTGACATTTTAAATTGAAAGAAATTGTCAAAATGTCTACACAGAAGCAAAACCAGTTTCTGGATATAAGACTCTGTGTTACTGCTTGTATGCATGGTAGTAAGCTGCCTAAAAGTATGCCAAATTTTACTGGCATAACGACTTATTGCTCTGTGTTTGTGTGCATGCATTTATATCTCCTGAAATCACCCCCTACTGTATTCTGTGTCATAGTCTGTTGGTTGAAGAAAGAGCAGAAAGAATTGTGCCTTTTATTTGCACTGCTGTGGATTTCTTACATGCTGGCCAATGTATAGAAGTTGAAATATGTCTTGCAATAAAGTATGAGATAAAATTGTCTGTCAAAAGAAAAACCAGATTGCATAAAAGGGCACGCACTCAAAAAATAGATGTAGTCTGTCCCATTGCAACAAATTGGATTTTGCTTGTTTTTAAGAACCTTCTTGTCGCAGTTATTGTATTTCATCACTTATTACCACATATTCAATCATACAATGACAAGTGTTCCTTCTGACGTTTAGTAGCATGGAGGCTGCTGCAGCGAACCTCCAAGTCACATGAGGAACACTCAGAAGTGTCCCAGTGGTATATGGGACACTGAAGGACACTCAGAAGTATTGCCCTCAAAAAAAAAAAAAAAGATGGGCACATGAATATTGTAGGCTTTTCTTCACATGCTGTTCACCATATGTTTAAGTTTATGCCTAAGAGTACTTAATTGAACACCTAACATTATAACCTGCAGAGGCAATCAGCTTATTCATAAGCACATGTAACATGTAGGCTACAGGAACATTTACTAGGAAAACAGAGCTGCCTTAGAAATGTGAACTTTATGGATGGAAGGAATCATTGAGATATAGTTATCTCTGCCCAAAACTCTATAGAAGAGATGGCAAGACATACTCAGGGTGGTCTAGCTCTCTATATCAAACTAGATATTTCCAAATAACTAGAAAGTTTAAAAGAAACAGACAGCTCCATATAATTTCTGTGGGTAATACTACCCACAGTATTACTCCACTGGGCAATGGCTGAAGGTGATCTAGAGATGAAGAAAAAAATCAGGAAGGCATCCAAAGAAGAAAGTGCTATAATAGCTGACCTCAGTTATCCTTGTGTAGACTGGGCTGATGCACATTGAATCATGACAAGGACTGCTCACATGGCGGGTCCTTTCATTGTAGATGATGATGCCAGTGTGTGGGTATGTAAAGGTGGAGGGAAGAAGCAGGGACAGGGCTGGGGCTAGGAGTGCATCCTGACACCCCACGAATTGCAGGAGATCCCCTTCATGTGAGTAATGCAGAAAGAAGACTAATTCCAGAAGGAGTTCGAGGAGTTGTGGTGGACAGCTGAATGTAAACCCTCAACCCAGTAGGCAGCAGCTGTAAAAGAGATGATTTCTATGTTTGTTAAAGAAGACATCAAAGGGATCCTTTTTCCAGAGATCAATTATATTTACGAGAAACTTGACCTATCCAGTCTCTTTCTCCCTGTTCTATTGAAAGTAATAAACATGCATAACCCTCAGTGGGCTTTGAGGCTGTTATCTCTTATAAAGTAACCTAGCGATATCCCCCACTGGCCCTATGCACACTTATTGCTTAAGGGCAGATCTGTCCAGGACTTCTCCTCTCTTATCTGCAGGGAACCCTATTACTCATCAGTGCACTACCACCTTTTCTGTTAGAGGGAATCAAATTCTATTAGAGAGAATATTAATTGGTTCCCTGGCAAAACAATTTATGCTACAAAATATATTAGCAATTGGTTTGCAAGTGCCTGAGTTTTTATTTTTCTTTTCCTTTAGATTTGAATCACCAAGGGAATTCTCTAAATACTAAAATAATTTGTACTTCATCAGGCACAACACTTATTTAAATAATTTTTGCTTGATACCCTTAGCTAGGAAGGAAAACATTTGGAAATGTTAATAATTTGATGGTTTCAGACAGTTGGTCTTACTGCAACACTTTGGACAATCTTAATTTTATACATTAGTTTCAATGTCCAGAAAGCAGTATGATTTTTTTAAAGAAAAGAATTAGTATAATTATTTCCTTATTTGGAGTTGTTAATATATTAGGTACCAATCATTATTAAAAACATTTGTCAACATTCTGAGAATAACTCTTCACCAGAATGGCTTCTTATTAATCTAATAAATCACTCCA